TACAACAAACTAAAATCAGAATACATAATTAAAAGTTATGAAAACCAGACATTACAAAGATAAAAAGGCTAAAAAATCCAAGAGGCTGAAACATTCTTCAGAAAAGGAGACAGGAAAAAGATTAAAAAATGAACAGTGGCTCAAACAGTCCTTCCTTCCCTCCTTCCTTAGGTTGGTTCCTAGCATCTGTCCTTAGAGGAGCGTGTTGGGCCATGGCAATGGAAGATGCGATGGAGAAGATCAACATTGTGTCTGAAAGCCTACAGAACAGTGAGGCAACAGAAGAAGGAACTCCATCCAGCAGCTGGCCCCATAAATGTGCCTCGTATGTCCTGGCTCTCCGGCCCTGGAGCTTCAGTGCCTCCCTCACGCCAGTCGCCCTGGGAAGTGCCCTCGCTTACCGTTCACAGGGCACCCTAGACCTGGGGCTTCTGGTTGGCAGTGCCGTCACCGTCTTGGCAGTCCATGGAGCCGGCAACCTCGTGAACACCTACTATGACTTTTCCAAAGGCATCGACCACAAGAAGAGTGATGACCGGACCCTGGTGGACCAGATCTTAGAGCCTCAGGATGTGGTCAGATTCGGGGTCTTGCTGTACACTCTGGGCTGCATCTCTGCAGCGTGCCTCTATTGCTTCTCCACCCTCAAGTTGGAACACTTGGCCCTGATTTATTTTGGAGGACTCTCCAGCTCTTTTCTCTACACTGGAGGTAAGGATTGTTTTTCTGCGTGGCCTCCCTTCCATGCTGTGGAACACAGGGGGGAAAAGTCTGTATTCCATCAAAATGCTGCCAATCTAAATTCCAGGCCATGCACAGAAATTGAGTTCTGTGGCCTATATGTACGAATCAATTAAATATGGGGAAAAAACCTCAAAAGTTTGCCTAGTCTCCTTGGTTTTATCCTGTTCCCATGAGTAAAGGAGCAAATGGCAATCAGGTTGGAAGACTGGATCGTGCATCTGGTATTCCCTGAGCCCTTTCTGTGTTTTTGGGTATAAATGTGACTTTAACAGTTGCTAGGAAGCTATTTAGCGTTAGGGGTTGTTCTTCTGGACTCTTGTCTAGTAGAGTGTCTCCCTGGCTTCAGCAGAGACAATCTTCCCCACCACCTCTTCCCTGAAGTGGTTTAAACTGCAGACCCCATCAAACCTGGGATCTTTTGCAAGGAAAGCGTGCCTCGAGGCAGCACGCTGAGTTCTCTTCAGTTGAAAGAGCCTGAGAAGAGACCATTTGGGGTGGGGTGGGCTCAGGGGTAGGTGGAGCAAGCGTGTTCTCAGTTACCCCAAGCCCCCAGTCTTGGACAGCTGTTTTTGGCAGAATCTTAGGAGACTAATACTCCTGTTTGTCAGTGGAACTTTCTGCCTGGGGAGGAGGAAAGATCTCCTTGGCTGGAGGTCAGCAGAGGCTCTTGGACGGCTACAGTTCCATGCTCCTGCGTGGCTGGGTGTGGGCTGGATGATCTCCTGGGCACCTTTCCAGTTCCCAGCTTTGGAAGGTATCCTGCTCTATTAAGGACGTGCTGAAGCAGAAGACTGCCCCCCATCCTCCTCCTCCTCCTCAAGCTCCGTCGAAGGCCCCCAGCTCTCCCCTGCCCCACTCACGCCGCCCGTCCCCTCCATCCTGACCCCTTTTCTCTGAACTTCCCTTCCTTCTCGTTGCTGCAGGCATTGGATTGAAGTACGTTGCGCTGGGCGATGTGGTGATCCTGATCACCTTTGGGCCCCTGGCCGTGATGTTCGCCTATGCCCTCCAGGTGGGCTACCTGTCCGTCTCGCCCCTGCTGTACGCCGTGCCCTTGGCCCTCAGCACGGAGGCCATCCTGCACAGCAACAACACCCGGGACATGGAGTCCGACCGGCAGGCGGGCATTGTCACGCTGGCCATTCTCATCGGGCCCACGCTGTCTTATGTCCTCTACAACAGCTTGCTCTTTCTGCCTTATCTCATCTTCTGCGTCCTGGCCACCCGCTACACCGTCAGCATGGCTTTGCCCCTGCTCACCTTGCCCATGGCCTTCTCCCTGGAGCGCCAGTTCCGGAGCCAGAGTTTCCTCCGAATCCCGCAACGGACAGCCAAGCTCAACCTCCTGTTGGGACTTTTTTATGTCTTTGGCATTCTTCTGGCTCCCCCTGGCTCCCTCCCCAAACTCTAGGTGGATGTGAGGTTCATTGACTCGCGGTGAGAATTCTTCCCGGAGAGCTTTCACAGGCTACACAGAGACACACACACGCACGTGCATATCATAGCCTTCGCCAAAGCTGCACAAGATTTTTTTTTTCCTGAAATGTTTCCTTTTTACGAAGGGAGAAATCCTCTTTATAAAACTTAGTCCTCTGAGTCCGGTTTCTGCTTTTTTTCTGTTGTTTCTTTCTTTACCTACATTTCATAAATAAAAATAAAAAAAATTAGCACTCCAGGGTAGAACTCGTTCCTACAAGGCCACGTAACAGAAATCCCTTTTAAAATAGAATTTGGAAAAAATGCACCGGCAAGCAGAAAATCTAAGCTCTAAAGCAAGTTGCTCGTCTCACCTAACGCGTTTCCCCCGACTTCTACTTTTCTGTCTTAAAGCTGGGCTTTTCTAAAAGAGGGACTTCCAGAGATTTCTTTTGATACCTAGGGAAAACTTACTTCCCAGCTGTTGTAACTGTGGGACGCTGGATCCTGTACCAGATCTCCTGTTTAGAGTTCAGGTGTTGACATCCTCCCTCTTCTCTGAGCAACTGGTGCCACGCCTTACTAATAAAACACTCCATGGAGTGTTATCTTTAAATCGCGCAGTCATTACCATCTGTTCTGAACATCACCCTACACGTTGATTGCTGCACCGGTTCTCTTGTGCCTTCCCTCCACCACCCAGCATAAAGTTGCTGGCAACCGAGTACTTGAAGGGGGTCAGATGAGATCTGCCAATCGTGGTCTCAAAAGAGGCTCTCTCCCCCCCTCCATTTGTTTCCCAGAATAAATTAAAAGTGTTGCTCCAACACCAGTGGCCTGGAGGATAAGCAAAAGGACTCCAAATAGCCCCTTTGGTGATGTTTTGGAGTAGGAAGATGGGAATAGCATCCTTTGCGGAGGGCGGTGTGCCCCAGACTGACCTAAAACCGAACCACGTTCTTTGCCTTTCTCTGTGTCTGTGACACGGGCAACAGTGCTCTCCTTCTCCCAGTTAATCTTTGTAATGCTCCCGACTGGAGATAAGATAACACTAATTCAATTGTTATGGGAGCAAACAAACTTGCCGTCAGGTATGACTCACGAGGCATGCTCTGATTTGAGCCGTGCAGATATGTTTTGAGGAGCATTCAAGAAGCAGCTGCTGGTTTATGCTGACTTTGGATGGGGCCCTCCAAGGGACGGCATGGGCTCAATACCCTCGAGGAGCGCCCTTCTCGTGGGGGAACTAGGCTGAAGCACACCGGAGGACGTTTCCCTGCTTTTCTCTCTGTGCTGGGCGTCTTCTTCCATCCTCATCCCTGTGTTTTCAGGTGAGGATCCCCTCCCGTTTCAAGTCAAGCGGCCGTCCCACCAGACCCTCACCCACCCAGCTTCTAGCTTCCTTTCCAAGCCGGGGGCGGGGGGAAGGCAGATTTACAAGAATTAAATTTGCATTGCGAGGGGTCCCCAGAGAACCGAGTGCCTTGCTTGGGCGGTCGCAACCAGGCCCTGACGGTTGCCCACCGAACCTGCATATTTTACAGACAGCGTGAAGAAACGGGGTCCCATTGCAGGATGGAAGTTGCAGATGGAGTAGAAAAGAGACGGCCATTTTCCAGGCACGCCTTCTTTGGCTCGATTCATTTCGTGCCCTGATGTTTTGGAGCAAGAGCTTTGCCCTGCTTTTTCTGTAAACTGCCTCGGGCCCTTCCAATGCATCTTTTCACCGCAACTGGTTTGATATGTCAAAATATCTCGTCTTTCCGCCCAGCCGCCCCTGTGGAGGATGGCTAGAGAATAAAGCTGGCTTGGCAAGAGCTAAGCCTCACCAGATTGCTGGGCCTGATTTGGCCCAAGGACTTCACGCTGACGTCTGAAAGAGAACATTTGGGATCCTGTACGCTTCGTCTCGAGCGCTGCTGGTTTTTATTGGGCCCTGCATCATTTTAAATAAAAATAAGAATGCAAATCCTTAGTCACGTGTCTTTCCTTTCCATTTCTGGCTTAGATTTGGTTCCCTTTTGGGGACAGGGAGAGAAAGGAAGCTTTTGTGTGACTTCCGTTTGCACACATCGTGGCGGCGAGCTGTAGGGGCTCTGCCAGTCACATCTCTGACATCAATGCTTGGTTCCAATCAGAGGACATGACAAACAGCCAGAGCTTTGATCACACTGATTTTCTGGACCATACCCTAACCCGTTCCAATTTCAGTTTCCATCTTTCCAATCCCAAATTGCTTTTTCTTCTTCTGCAGAAGCAAAACGAAATTTTTTTAAACCACAGCTCTGATTTTGCGCTTCCTGAAGATGGCAGCATTTTCCCATTCGTGCTAATAACGAAAGATGGAATGAAACCTTCAAGATTTTATAGACAGACGGTCACCCAAGCAGAGAGCCCGGAGCAGTTCCCAGTTCAACTGCAGCATCTCCAAGTAGGATTAAAAAAGAGCCAGAAGAGTCGCTGTTAACTGATCCACAATCTTTTCTTGGGATGGAGCGTCTTTTCACCTTTCTATGACTTAAGAAAGGAGCCGTCGTTCCATTCCTTTCTGAAACCGCCTTCCGATGCAAAGGAAGCCCATAGGTCCCCCATCAACCTGTCTGGCGACAGCGAGCTCCATATATTGATTATCATTTGCACATCCCATACATTATTCTGGAATCTGAAAGAAGATACGGGCATATTTTTTCCCCTCCGTCTCTGGCCCTGCCCATTTTTCTGGGTAAATCTCTGGCTGTTCTCTTAATCCAGGTGAAGAACTTGAACATCCTAGATCAGCATCCCCAATGGACCTCAGCAAGGATGCCCCTTCCGGGGGTGGGGGCCAGGTGATTAGAGGCGGGGTTTCCATTTCAGGAGGAGGAGCCAATTTCCTGGCCTCGAGCTCGCTCAGCTGACTAGCCAGAAAGCAACTGCCCCCTGACCCCGCCGCCCCGTCGCTATACAAAGCGTTTTGATTCATTTTCCTTTAAAGATGATATAAAAGATTTCTAAACCACCATTTTGGGCATCCCAGTTGAGGCTGTATACCGTTCGAAGAGAAAACGTAATAACGTCGAGCCATTCGTTTTTAGAAAAACACATAGCCTGGAGCTGGAATAGTCTAAACTAATTTAAAGCACAGCAATTAATAAAAGGCAATGAAATCAAGAGTCTTAAGGCGGTTTAAAAAAAAAAAAAACCCTAGTAATTGTGATCCCGTGGGAAGAAGAGGAGAAGCCAGCGTGCTGCATTCGGAAGTGATTTTAGTGACTTATTTTGGCGCTCAGAGCACCGTTCTTGCAATCTTGATCCTTGGGGATCCCCGCCTCGGCCTTCCCCTTTTTCCCTCATCTTCCCTCATGAAAGAGCTAATTGGCCGGGGCAAGAAAATGGGCAGCCGTGTTGCTGCCCGCTGTCCTTGGGAGACTCGTCCGCCAGGTCCCATGGCGTGGAAATTGCATGTATTTAAAAAGCCTTTAAGGGCATCGGACGAATAAGGACAGGCAGCTCCAGAAGATAACCAGGGTGGGCTGGTTGCTGCTGTGCTGTTCCTGTTGGAAGGACGCACAACGTCGTGATGTGAGGAGCAGGAAGGCCTCCCCACACCTTAGCCCCTCACCTGTGGAAGATGGTGGGGACAGAAACATCCAGAGGTAAAAATCCCATCCTTGGGGGAGCTCTGGAGAAGACGACAACGACGGTCCTTGGTGGTCTCTCTCTTAACGCTTCCTTGGTGACTGTTTTACCCTCCCTGCTCTAGCCAGTTACACGGCCTCGGGGTTTTTAATTCAGAAGACTTTATAGATCTGCGGACACACCTTCAAATTCGCCTCCATCCGGACTAGGAATGTAATTCGTTTTTAAGAAAAGCAGAAAAGAGCGACCAAAAGATCTCAGGGAACCCAGATTGATGACATCTACTGAATCTGGGAATATGGGGGGCGGGGGGAAATCAGACTTGGAAGGTTGATGAATATTCCCAGGCCATCCCCAAAGCTCAGTCCATAAATTGCTGGGAAATGGAGAGTTAGGGGGCTAAGAATGGAATGGAATTGTGATTATATATATATATAGCCAGGAGGAGGACCCAGGAGGAGAAAAAGATTGTCCTCTATCTATCTATCTATCTATCTATCTATCTATCTATCTATCTATCTATCATGGACAATCTTTTTCTCCTCCTGGCTTACTTCTTTGGAGAAGCACCCCCACCCCGCTCAAATCCTTTAAAAATTAACTACCTGGTTTTTTCCCCCCCACTTCTCTTTCTGTTCCAGAATTGCCTGCTTAGCAGATGAATTGCTTTCCCAGCTTTCAGGAAGTTGTTTTTCACTTGAAGGTGGAATGAAATCTCCGCCTGACTTTTTTCCCCCTCCCTCCCTCCCCCCCTTTTCAAAAATCTGTAGCTCTGAGCCGTGCTAAAAAATTCACGAGGCTTGATCAAACCCCGGGTTGCTGTAGCAGCGATGGGAGCCGCGATCCCGTTTCCGCTTGGAGCCAAGCCCGCCTGCCACCCGTTTGGAAAGGCGGCGCTAAGAACCAAAATAAGTTTGCGGCCCAGCCAGGTTTCCGTTCCAGCCTGTCTTTCGTGCCCTCGCCAACCTGCCCTGTCCGTGGCCCAAGACTCCAGGGAGCCCAGCATGTCGAGCACCGGGAAACCTTGTTGGACAAGGAACGCATCACAAGGAACAAGCTGGCTGCATCTGTTTCCGTGGCAACCACCCCGCTCTGATTCCCTGTTCCAGATTCTGGTCTCCATCCCAGTTGCAAAGGATGAAACGAAGCAGCTGTTGGCGTGTGGCGGGGTTGAAGAGGGAGGATTAGCATCTGCGGAAATAAGCCGGCTTCCCCCGCACCGTTTTGTGGTTACTGTACTCTGCTAGATGTTGAAACCTGGGGACGTTAAGCGCATTTCTTCTGGGCCAAACTTTGGTCTCTTTTAGCAGCCACCTGCTTAGGTTAGCTTACCTGTGACTCCAGATACTGCAGTTTCAGGCTGTAGTTTTTCTGCCTGTCGTTTCAGATCCTTCAGCCTGCAAAGAAGGGGCTCGAGAATGGCCTTTCTCTTAAAATACGTAACTGTAAGTATACAGGAGGGTTCCCACAACACGTTACTCCCAAGACTTGCTTGTAGTTTAGCCTAGCCAACGTGATTTGAAAAGCAGAGAATCAGAAGGGACAGTCCGACCCCCTGCTCAGCGCAGGTTCCCCTAGAGCAGTTTCTCATCCTTGGCGGCTCGAAGATGTGTGGACTTCCATTCCCAGAATTCCCCAGCC